GAGACATCTTTATACTAATCATGTAAGAAAGCGCAAAGTTCGGGTGTAACCGAATATTTTATAATCGCACAATTTGAAAAGATCAAAGGCGAAGAAATACTTTCAGGTATTGCATTTGTGAAAATTTGTATACTGTAAAGTGAAAAATTAGTTAATTTAAAAGTTTGATATATGGCAAGTAGATGTGGTTAACATCCGACTTGGCACATTTAATAGCTTACGATAGGGATGAAAGGGTTGAAATTGGTCAAGTAGTTCCTGAGATATAGTATTTCACCTAAAAGTGAGCGGTGCCACGCCCATTGAACGATTTATATCCTAGCTCCTATAAAGCCGTTTACTACTAATGAAATTTAAGAGATATGTAATTAAACCATTTAGGAGACGGGGTCACGCCCACTTTTTAAAAAAAATTTGCCTACAGGTGTCCCTTGTTACAGTTATGTATCTTAATTAAGTAAAATTAAATTATGGCACTTTAAAATTTTTTATTTAAAGGCGTTTTTGGGCGTGGCAGGAGTTCGATTATGCCCATATGCAATACCAACCTTTATTAGGTGCCAATTAATATGTGTACCAAGTTTCATCAAGATATCTCAAATTATCGCTTGAACGGACAGACGCAGTCCCCCAGATTTCAACTCGTCTTGTCGTCCGGATTATTTATATACACATTACCCTATATCTAGATCGATTAGTTTTAGGGGATACAAACAACCGTTAGGTGAACACAACTATTGTATTATATTCTATTGCAACATGTTGCTAGAGTATAAATATATCAAACTACTCTGAAAAATTTTATTTCCAATAAGTTAAATATAAAAGCTTGGACCCCTTACATATGTACTATATACATTTTCCTTACTGTACCTCAATTTATGTATGTATGCATTGTTTATGAATATTTGAGTGTGGAACACAAACAAAATAAGGAAAAGCCGTAATGAGCGACAGGAAAAATTTAGCTGAGAATGGCGCATTTCTCAAGCATTGAATTACAGACAAACATACCTTTATTTATACAAAAGACAAAAACAACTTGAGCGTAGAAAATTATAAAGTAACATAATCCAAAAGCTAACGTAACACATATGAGAATTTATTATTAATGCATGTATTATATAGTACATAATTATGTAATATATGCTGCAAGCATCTATGGGAAGAAGTTTTTTTTTCGAGCTTAAGAGCTTAGACCCCCATTTCTTGAAAGTCAAGATAAACCAAAAGTTTCTTCAAGTGTTTATTTTAGAAAACAGAGTCTAATCATGCCATTGTTTTGTTCATTCAATTTTTTTTAGATTATCGCGGCAATATCTCCTGCAAAACTGTATTACACTTCGATAAGTTCCCCGCCTACGCGAATGATAAAGACATCGAACGAAGATTCTGCGATATAAGTATTGATTATGACAAGTCACCACCGCCCACCGCTGCGGGTTCACCACTTTATCCCGCGCTGAATGGTATTATATATGAAAGCGGTGTTGGTGATCACAACGGTAATACAAAAACAACACTAAACAGTGAAGCAATCAACAGCATTAATCGCACAGGTTCGGTAGGATTGAGTGGCGGCGGTCAATTGATTTCCGGTATAACAACAACACATGGCTTATCGGGTGGATTTCAATTGGATCGCAAGTTTTTGCAATTCACCACAGATCAGGTGGGTGTCAATTAATAATATATTATATTAACAAAAATTACTTAGACTGCTTGATTTTGTTCAATATTAATATTTACACTTCATCGTTCAGATACAATGTATGTGTGAAGCTCTGCAACAAAAGGGTGATATCGAGAAGTTAACCACCTTTCTGTGCAGTCTACCCGCCAGTGAACTTTTCAAGACGAACGAGAGCGTGTTGCGTGCTCGCGCGCTTGTCGCCTATCATCGTGGACAATTTCACGAACTCTATAATCTTTTAGAAACACATTGTTTCTCAGTGAAATTTCATGTGGACTTGCAGAATCTCTGGTTTCAAGCGCATTACAAGGAAGCAGAGAAAGTGCGCGGACGTCCATTGGGCGCGGTCGATAAATATCGTCTGCGCAAAAAGTATCCATTGCCGAAAACAATTTGGGATGGCGAGGAAACGGTTTATTGTTTTAAAGAGAAAAGCCGAAATGCTTTAAAAGATTGCTATATGACAAATCGTTATCCAACGCCGGATGAGAAGAAAACGTTATCGGAGAAAACCGGTCTAACGCTGACACAAGTGTCCAATTGGTTCAAAAATCGAAGACAGCGCGATCGAACACCCCAGCAAAGACCGTGAGTATCTACTAAGTGAAAAGTGTTAGTTTAAGGAATCTGTAGAGTATTAGCATGGCTCTATTTCCACCCACTGCCACTGCGTTTCGTAATACGATTGCAATTTGTGAAACGCGTTTTGATAAATGGCAGCTTAACATGTTTTAGGTAGCTGAGATACGTCCAACCAATCGTTCTTTCAAGCCCAAAAACTCGATTATTCACAGAGAGACCATCTTTGAACTCCATCAACTCACTTCGGGTTTAGGTATTCAAAACTATTCTATATTTGTAAAACTTTGTGCATATGCTGAGGTGATTATTTTATGTGGATTTCTTTAGACTAAATCGCTCCCCCTGGATCCACTAAGGATCTTTTTTTTCACAATATAGTTTGCACAAAAATCGAAACCGTCCATCAATGTCTCAAAAATCACCGATTACACTCGCCATTTATTCTTACAAATCGACATGTGTACTTCACTAAGGAGCGCGTACCAATTTACATAATAGAATAACAAAGAAAAAGCGTAAAACGGAGCGTGCTCGAAAAGGTCTCACATTACAAAAATTTTGAAGAAAAACTATACACTGAATGGAGCAGAGCCTTTATGGTACATATATGTATATATAGATGTATGTTTGTAGAGTGCGTCAAAAGTCGCAGCGGGCAGCCACTTGACTTTTTAGAAGGGCGAATACGCCAAGTGTTTTCCCTTTAACTCATAAAGCACACACATATGTACGGGATCGGGATCGGACTGGTGGGAATTAGTGAATGGCAAGTGCGAGGCTAGTAAATGCGGAAAATTCAATCGAACCAAATTGGCATTTAAAATCATTAAATCAAGTTGACCGTTACACAGAAAAATACAACAAAAAGTGCGACGCATACATATGTAGAGTAAGTAGGTATGTAAAAGTGTTGTGCATTTGTTGTTGGACACGTACTATTTCCTGTTGTGATTTACATACATACGTTGGCATACCAAGTTGCGTTGTTGTTGTCGGCGGCTGCGTAAATTCAATTTACACACTTAACACTTGAGCGTGTTTTATGTGGCCATTTGCATCATTGCGCCGCTGCGGTTCGTTGGCGGGCTAAATACGCTTTGCTTATTTTTTATTTTTTAATATTTTTAGACTTTTAGTCGCCACAAGTTATTGCATTTTCTTTGTATTTGACTAAGTAATAAAACTCACGTACGTGTACACATACTAAAGTGTACGCATGCGCAGCGCATGTGCCACGATTGCAGCTTGCAGTGCTATGCACAAGATCGCACAGTGGGGTATCAGCATGAAAGTATACTTTTCACACATGTTTTGCATTAAAGCATAGCATTTGGTACGATTTTTTTGGTGACGCCAAAGTACAGCGTAGTTAAAAAATTTGAATTGAATTTTTAAGATACAGTGGGGTATTTCAGACATTTATTTTACAAAAAATGTATGTTTTGTTTCATAAATATTTTAATATGATTCTTCTGCTAACTCATTTTCTTTTTATCGCCTGAGTTAGACCAGGTCTAACATATCTTATTGATCCTAGCTAAGCAGTTAGTCGAATTTTTTTTACTCTTGCTATTATCTAGTACCCTTTAAGTTACACACGTTTCAAACGAAACTCAGATCTACGAAATCGGGTAATAATTATGAATTTAAAAGCCGATACAAGTAGTATCAAAGTGGACTTAAACAAATTTAAATTATAATAGCTCATATAAATCCGTAAATATACCTAAATTGGTATAAATTCCTTGACAACAGTATGTACGTAACTGTTATTAGTTAACCAATATACCAAAATCATTAAATGTCACACTTTTAATGAAATGACTGCTTTGGAGTCCTCAAAAATTTTGCGAGAGGGTTTTAGATAGCTAACGTTTGCGGGTTCACAAATATTTGAGTCACTTAAGGCATTTAAGGAGAGTCATGGGATCTGAAAAAATCAGCGACGATGATTTAGCTTATTCGTAACTCTAATACGGAAAAGTTAAGGAATATCTAGTCGAAAATGGTCGTGCTTGGGTTAGATAGATTTAAAAAGCTCTCAGTAATATTTATAAATCTACAAATTTGGTCTGATATTTCGGATATGAACCTCGTTCACACAAGTCATTTGCTAAACATACTGAATCTCTCGCAAAGAAAGATTCAAGTAGCGGCCGTAAAAAAGATGCTTACGAAAGAAATCCAAGCATAAAGCTTTACATAGAACGCTTATTCACAAGTTTTGGTTATTTTTGACTTATTACAGCACACGAAATTCAAATATCTGTCTCATATAATCATTATTTAATTTTTTGTGTTAATTTTTAATTTGTATTGTTTTATATTCTGTCTTTCTAGTGATATCATGTCTGTCCTGCCTGTTCAACAATTGGATGCGAATGGTTTCCCTCGTATGTTTAATGCGCCCAGTTACTATCCGGAATCTATTTTTAACACTCAATAGCATAAGATCTTACAATTTTAAGTAACGTCATTGTATTCATAAGAAAACGCACACACTTTAAAATCAATATTTAAAAAAATGTTGTATATATAATATTTAATAGTATAAGTCCATTGAAAATGGCAAACTAGCATAAATTGTTTATAGATTTAAGTTAATGTTTAAGAAAATGAAATATGTATGCTGTATGTTTGTGGAGAATTTAAAAATGTGGCAATACATTTAAAAATATAAAAAAGAGAAAGTTAACAAAGTTTATTTTATTTAATGTATATATGTCTTCAATAGATTATTATTCAGCGTAAATGGTGATATCCACTTGCACGTCAGAAAAGACGCGTTTTTTCGTGTTTTTCTAAATGGCATTTTATTAATAAAAACAAAAATTTAATGTGCTTTCATAATTGGTGATTTATTTAGAAAAATTTTGAATTCTCTTAATCCTGCAACCGATCTTCAAAAAGACCTTTGAAAAAAGGTGTCTGCCGGTGAAAGATTTTTCCTGTTAAAATTATCCCAACACCAAAAACAAAATGTTAACACAATAGATGAATACAGGTAATGACCGGAGTACTAGAACTACTACAAATTTTTATTTTTTGACAAAATGGCGGCTTCGCAAAACTAGAAAACTAAAAAAAAAGTAGTTTTTTGGGAAATAGTTTACACTTCAACATTATGAGTTCGATCCTTTACTGACAGTTTTTCTCTGAAAGTTTCAAGAAAAACGCTTTAAAAGTTTTGGAAGTCGATTACAAAAACAAATTCTTACAAATACGATAATATCTTCGAAACTTTTTGCGGTGTCAAATTTTCGAGAATACTTTCAAATATATAAACATTTGTTAAAAATAGATTTTTTTGAAATACTCAAGTGGGTATAACCTCTTAATCTATTACTCTGCGAGCTCGACAAAGAACTGAGAGCAAAAATCACGATTGCAGTAATAACCAATATGTCTCATAAAGTAAGTCCTCGAATTGCTCGACGGCAGTATGGTCTGTAGAAAGCTACGCCATTCGTTCGGGTCTGCGTGGACCATCGACACATGCCGTGGAGAGACCGCTAAGCTTACCAAAATGCCGTTCTTCATAGAGCCATTGGATATTTGCATTTCTTTCTTAAAAAGATTACCTATGTAAAAAAATCGGAAAGGTCTATGGACTCAATTCATCACAATTTTAAAGCCGTGGCTCTGTAGTTTCATATATTTTCAAACATAAAGGGTATACAAATTATATTGTTGCAACCCTGCGCTCGTTATAAACAAAACCGGTGAAATGTCATCACGTGACGTTTTTTCAATTTGACAATTGTAAATGAAGAAAAAGTTGACAAAAGCAACATCAAAAAAATCATTGGCCGGTGAAATTTGTTGAAGTTACTACAAAAGTTCAACTAAAGTTAATTGTTTATTAAAAATAATGGCCAACAAAAAGGGTAACAATGTGGGTGGACGCACACAGCAACAAATAAATGTCAGTAAAGCCAAATATACTTAGAATCTCACTCAATACGAAAAATTAACATAACTTTCCACACAGGATTCCAATGACTACAGTGCATTCAAAGTGGTGTTCTTCTATTGTTCTCTAATCGTGTTCCTGCCTGTTGCAACATTTTTCTTGCTTAAATCTACTGTGCTGGAACGCTTTTTCACCATGTCTGAGATTACAACCAATATTTATTCGGCGGTTGGCGCAGTTGTGGCTTTACACTTGGCGCTGGGCTTGTACATATATAAAGCATATTTTGGTGGCAGTCAGCACACGACGGTATCATACAAAAAAGTCGATTAATGACAAAACATGTAAGCATAATTAAAAGTGATCGATCAGAAAAGTGTGGTGTAAGCTACGGATGTTTCTCCGAAGAACATGTGACTCCATTTGGGTATTACAATAAGTATACTTTAAACGTAAATGCACATATAGACATTTTTATAACAAATACTATACGGTTTTTCCTACATTCATGTACGCTTGTTTTAAATTGTTCGATATAAAAATAAATTGTTTAAAACTATGTACAAACATTTACAAAACATGTTATGTATGACCATAAATGTAAATAAAAATAGTTGTAAATAATAAACGATTTTTAAAAAACTAATATAATTCAAACTTAATTATTTTTAATATTTCAAAAACATTTTTTGCAAATGTGTCAATATTCCTGCATGGTTACGTCCCTTTTTACTTTTCCTTTAACATAATTTCTACTTTCACACACGCACATACACGAGCTTGCTCATACATACGAATCAGCCGTCACCGTTGTTTGTATAATCTGACATTTTGTAAAAGGCACATTTTAATTTCCTTCCGTGTGTAAATAGTTATAATTTAAATATAGAATAAATGAGTTAAATAACAACTACACACAATTTTAAATTGCAATGAAGTTTCTCCCTTGGCGTGGTCAATATTTACGCTTTTACAACCAATGGCTTAAACAATTGGGCAATGCGATTGGTGTGCGAGATCGCCCCAAAATCTATAATCTAGGCGCTTGTTTTGAGGTGGATGAGTTGGTAAGTGAATAACACATGCTAGTTAATTGTATATAAAAAGCGAACTTATCCGAAGTATAGTTATCTAAATAGTTTATCGGTTGATAGGTAGTCAATAAATTTTGATAAGCAAGTGATAAGAATAGAATAGATAGTAATAACCAGCTGATTATTGTGCTGACAAAGTTTTATATATTTATAGAATATGAAACTGATATGATTTGTTTAACTTAACTTTACTTTCTACGCCATTACGTTCTATTTATTGTATGCTTAATTCATATACGAAGAAACCAATAAAACAATACAACAATAAAGCAGCGGATTTGTTAACTTGCCTGCGATATTTACCACTGCAAGTGGTGCAAAATAAATATCGATTATACTTAGTCTTGTAATAAATTGAATTGTGTGAAAGCTTCTTATTAAATAAAAATTAACTTTATTAAAAAATTTATTATAGTTTCCTTGTTATGAAGACCTGAACTTTGTTTAACAGAACTTATGGCAGGACTGAGTGCATTTGGTTATCAGAACTAAATGAATTAAATTTAAATTGATTAGGTTAAATTTACATTTTCGTTACAATATTTTTGTAGTTATTATCTTATACAATTGTATGCACTAAAGAGAGGATAACGAAAATTTAAGAACGAGACTACCGGCACTAATTCGATTTTGCACATCACTAGTTGTGATAAAACATTGCCCAACCCCTCCTCCTACTTGTTGAACTGTGTGCTGGAGAAAAACCATAGGGAATAGTGCTGTCATAAATTAATAATTCATAGAAGAGTAGTTATGTAAAAATTATTATTCTTTAGTGCAAATCAAGCCCATCTCGCCAATATACAAAAAAAAAAAAACAACACCTGTGTAAACAAACATATAATTGGTTTATGTATGCAAAGCAACAGTTGCCGTTTGTGTTCATATTTATGTTTATAAACCAGCAGTTCAGCAGTTGATTTGCTTTCGTGTCAGATGTCAATATAGCAATATTCTCAGTGAGCTACGGATCGCCCGTTGGGAAGTTGCAATATGTCCTTGTTAAATGCATATTTTGCAGTGCTTATCATACTTAGTGTTAGCGTATTTGCCAGCAAAGATTTTCAAGGTGGCTTTGCTGTGGGACGGAATGAGGTATTCAAGTGTAAAATGTTTTAATTACAATAACTTTTTGTCTTTTTATAAGAATTAATTAGTTATTAAATTTCTGTAACTTCCAGTTAACATACCGCACTGAGGAGCTATCACATGAAAAGTTTTTGGCCTACGGCCCGCTTTCGGATGTACCACACTTACGAAAAGCCATTAACAATTTACTTATTACAAGAGTTGTCGGCACGGCTGGACACACGCAAGTACGAGACTATATAACGAGTAATTTGCGGGGACTTAATTGGTCCGTTGAATACGATAAATTCCATGACACAGCGCCTATTTTGGGAAAACTGCATTTTCATAATATTATAGCAAAACTCAATCCAGATGCTAAACGTTATTTGGTATTTGCATGTCATTATGATAGCAAGTATTTTGAAGATTTTGAATTTATTGGCGCAACAGATTCCGCAGTGCCATGTGCAATGCTGCTGAATATGGCACACATATTACAAACGGCGCTTGAACCATTCCGTAAGACAAAACTAAGCTTAATGTTTATATTTTTTGATGGCGAAGAAGCTTTCAAAGAATGGGGCCCGAATGATTCACTTTACGGTTCACGTCACTTAGCAAAGCTATGGGAAGAGGACGGGACCTTAAACCGTTTGGATATGATGGTTCTATTGGATTTAATTGGTTCGGCTGATCCAACCTTTTACAGTTTTTTTCCTAATACGGAAGGTTGGTATTCGCGTTTGGTATCGTTGGAGGAGCGCCTTTCGGATCTAAATATGTTGCAACGGTATATAAGCAGCGGTGTATCGCGCCAATACCCGAACCGTTATTTTCAACCAAATACATTACGTTCTTCAATGGTTGAGGATGACCATCTGCCTTTCTTAAGGCGTAATGTTCCCATATTGCATCTAATACCGCTACCCTTCCCAACTGTTTGGCATACGAAAGATGACAACAATTCCATAATTGACTATAATGCAACGGAAAATATATCATTGATACTTCGCTTATTTATGATGGAATACTTGCAAAGCGCAAATGATGAGAAGTGAACTATGACAAAGCAAGATGTCCAACGCAAGGAGTACTTACGTAAAATGTAAGAATAATCAACGTGATATACTATCTGGCTGCTGAAATCAACGCTATTTTCATTGTAATAATTGACCACAAGTTTCTAGGAAATTTAACTAACAAACATATGTACAAATTGACTTATAAACAAAAAATATGTATCTGCTTAGGATACTATGTATTAATATATATTATACACAATTACATTTTAATAATTATTGAGAACTTTGCCAAGTTCTAATTGCTAAATCTAATTTAATCGAAAAGTCCATTTGTAAATTAATAGTGCTAGTTAAATTAGCTATTGTATATTGAAAGTAATATTGCATATTTTATTATAAAGTTGTTACTTTGAGAGGAACTAAGAATATATAACTAATATTGACTATACAACTTTAAAATGTGTGTTTTTTGTTCACGTTATCAATTCTTGAATATGAATTCGTAACATTAATGTTACGTTAACATTGAAGTTACTCATGCGCTAATTGTTTCCTTAGGAAATTTATCGATACCTCCTGTTTTTAAGGCCGATGGCATTAGCTGCTTATCGGTACATAATAATAAATTTTAACGTCACTAGCGGCGGTATACCGCAACACTAGAACAGTACCATATGTTTTTTGACGTTTCGAACCAATCGATGCTGTAACCTATTGGTGCTATTGGTTTAAAATTTTAAGAGTTTTATCAATAAATTAATTAAAACATCTAACAACAATGCTTATGCTGAGTAGAACATCGTCTCTAACTATACGGTAAGTGTTTAGAGTTGAAACAGGATAGCAATTATTGTACATAAGTATTAATTTACGTCCTTAGAGTGCTGGCAGCTCGTATAGCCGGCGCACGCAATTGCAGCAAAGATTACGACTCATCCGATGATGAAAAAGAACCAAAATCAAAACAACAAAAGAATAAGGACGTGAAAGAGGCTGGAACGCAACCTACAACTACACCAAGTAAGGCTGATGTGGAATCTACTGAAGAGCCGGCCATCACACGCCTAAACCGTTTGCTGGCGAGCATGCCAACGGAGAATGCCTATTCATTGGCAAATAAAAATAACAATGTAACCTTACCACGGCCAGGTGATGCACGAAAAAAACGAAAAGAAGAAACAAAACAAGAAATTGAGTCGAGAGATATTTATGTTGCCGCAAAACGTGTGGCTTCTTTAGCGGGAGATGGTGAACAAAAACAGCAAATAGAATCGGAATTACTCGCAAAACTACTGGGGCATAATCAAGAAGAGAAAGATGTAAACAAACAGAACAATGCTGAATCAAGTAACACAAGTTCAGAATTAAGTCTAAGGTAAGACATCAATATACATATCTATTTATATGCATATTAATAAAATCCTATAATTTTTAATAACTCCACAAATAGCGAACTAATTGTGGGCATGAAAATTGATCGCTCACAACCACCAAAAGAGTTAAGCCGTGGTGAATTTGTGCGTCGCTCAATTGCAGCAAAAACTAAACCACACCAACAACAAGATCAACAAAGTGTGCAAAAAGAACGTAAACGTGAAGCAGCAACCTATACTGGCAGTGTTAACTTATTTGGTTCTGAACCACTGGGCATTTTCAAAAATACCGCCGATTTGCGGGATGTACCCGATATACTCACCACCTGGGCACATCTACAGAAAAATGAACTAAAACTGTTAGTAACACATCCGCCCGCAAATTATTTCGAAAAGTTAGCATTATGGACGGAACAAGGAAAAGTTTGGCGTTTTCCTATTGACAATGAGCAAGACTTAAGTGATGAAGCGAATGTAGACTTCTCTGAGCATATCTTTCTGGAGCAGCACTTGGAACCATGGTGTCCAGAAAAGGGACCGATACGTCATTATATGGAGCTAGTATGTGTCGGTCTTTCAAAGAATCCGTACATAACAGCAAAAGAGAAGAAAGAGCATATATTGTGGTATCGTGACTACTTTGAAGCGAAAAAGGATATACTCAAAGACTTGATTAGTCAAGAGAAGAAACCAAGCACAAGTGGAGAACAGAAACAGCTGAGCTCATAAGTTTTTGTTTTGTTGTGCGTTATGTGCAAATAAATATAAAATATAAAATGTTTTCACAAACTTATGCCAAAATCGAAGAATTAATTTACAATCACAAAAACAGTATCAGCAATGGATAATATTGTAAAGGAGATATATATTATGAATATATATTATTTATAAAGCCAATTATCATATTATCATATTTTGAAATTTTTTAGGACAGAAATGTATTGAAAAGCATACATATACGAAAATATAAGTGCATATAGGCCTAAATTTTATAAGAGAATGCCAACTATTCAGAAACGCACGTTTTCATACATTCTGGGATTGCGTTGTATGTTGTCGTCCATGATGCGCTTGCGTACAAGCTCCCACTTATCGAGTTTTTCCAAAATTTCTGGCACCAGCGAACGCAATGCCACACGTGAAGCTTCAGGTCCATCACGTAATTCCACATTAGTTTTGAAATTGTAATTTGGTGTGTAGCCATTCAATTTAAGGAAATGATCGAAATAAAATGGCACGATTTGCTCTTGTATGGTGTCCATTACTCCAATACTATCGCGCGCATCGTGCAATTGCATAACGTCACCCTCATCGTGAAATGCGCGGAAGAAGAATTTCGTATGCTCGGTAACGCGTTGCTCCTTGAAAGAGATTTTCTTTTCCTTCTTTTTGATAATAAAGCGCGGTAAATTGCCTTTACGCTTCGGCTTCACATAGGGTGGTTCTAAATTACGACGCACCTTTTTCATTTCACTCTCGATGCGTTTCTCTACTAAATATGCTTGCCGAGAGATTTTACGATCATAAGCACGACGCCGACGCAATTGTGCCTCAATACGACGACTTTCCTCAACAGGTATCGATTCGAATTTAGCTGGAATCATAATAGGGAAGTTGTAATGACGTATACACTTGCAGTTAGAGTCAAGATGTGTGGAAAGCTAGTCTTGTCTAATCTCATATGTGTTGTATTCTGGTTTATACGTGTGTATGTACTAATCGTTCGCACACTCTAGTTAGTTAGTTCCTTAGATTAGGTTAGGTTAAAAGGTCGATATAAAAAAAAAAACGGATCCCACTTCGCCAGGTTCGTCGAGATGCCTTGCAAAAGCTGGACATTGAGAATGTGCTTGGATGTTCCCACTTCACCTTTGTCCATACAACTTCAGTTAGCGTCCGATAAAATTTTCAGTTTTACGGCATGCCCGCTTATTCGACAATGAGCAGTAAGAAACTCTTACGATAGCGGCAAGATGAAGCTTACGGAGGGCAAGTAGTTCAATCGATCTCCTGCGTTCTGCACTAGGCTAGAAGGATCTCGTCGCAAAGGAGCTAGTTGTTGATCAGCGCCTGCTAAGCTCAGGCGAAGTACAGAGATCTAGCACTAAAACGCAAAATCATGAGTTCACTAGTCCATTGGTTTCTTTGTAATCTATTAAAGTCCTGACCTCTGCATATTCACCACTCAATCTTTTATAAAACACCCATGTAAACTTTTCAACACTTACATATTAATTCCATTGTGACCTCCGAAATCATGGCCACCATTTCTAATGGCTCGAGATCGTCCCCACCACCGCTGCGCATATTTTCAGGTACAATTTCGCGCCACACTTCTATAATGACCGCACGATGTTTGATAAAAGCTTCATCATTGAATGAACTTTCAACTGGTTCCGACAGGAAATCCAATGTGCGTAGTTTCATATCCGCCGCACGATCGGACATAAAATATAGCTTTGCGCATTTACGCGACACATACGATTGTTTCTCACGCAAATCTTCCAAACACCACACTTCAAACATTTCCAAACGGCTCTGCAGTTCGGTGTGTATGGATAGTGTGAAGTGCATTTCGAGTAGCAAGACAAAGGTTTTAATTTTTAAATTCTCAATGCCGCGCATAAAACTATCCGCGTTGGGGAATACAATCAGTATTGGATGTAAATTCTGCATATAGACATCCTCGTAGTAACTCTTAATTGCCCATGCGTCATCTTTATCACGTTTACGTATGTTTACGGTGTTGCGCTTCATTATAGACTCTTCGAAATTCTCCAATTCAATAGTTGTCTTGTTACAATCTTCGCCTTCTTCACCATCTTCTTCCTCACCATACTCTTCATCCTCTTCGCACTCGGAACCACGCTGCGAAACCTTTTCGATACGATGTATCCAATCATTTTCGTAACGCCATTCGGAATCACCAAGAAGATAATGAAAGTTCTGCAACATAATACGTCGTATCCAATGACCTTCAATAAAAACGATATCCATATTGAGTACGATTTGTTGACGTTCCAATTCACGAAATTCGCGCTTGAGAGCATCTGTTCGATCGTAATATGATTTCACCTAAGAAAGAAGTTTTGGTAACTATAATGCTTGCAAAAGTGATGAGTGATGAGTAATGCATAGAATGGTATTGCTACTTTTATACGACGTTTTTGGACTTGAGCCAGGGGATTCTACCAACCTTATGCACCACCGACATAGCCGATTCATATTCACGTTTCTCCCACTTAGCAAATAGTTTTTCATATAGCAACTTCAAGCGCATCATATTTTCCCAATGATGCTCGTTCAGACGATCATAGATTTTGGTGCGTACTATTTGACCTTGTATAAGCATAGATTCGAATTTCAAACGCAAGGCATCCTTAATAAATGAGCTGCCCGTTTTGAAACTGAACATCTTCACGGGCGGTCGATTTTTCAATTCATCCACATAGTTCTCATCGATGTCTGTCGTCACAACACTGCGGTACTTGTGCTCGCCGCGTCCAATCAATTTTTGACGCACATCCTCCACCGGCACCTCGAGGCGCAAACGCAAACCATTTTGTAGACGTGTATTGAATGTGAAGAAACTATCTTTGGCGGCGTTAAGCTCATTTTGTGCCTTGCCCTGTCCGGTGAATGGCAATACCTTGAAGGGATTATTTTCCTCAGCTTCGATATCGAGCGGTTCGAGCTTGAAGCGACAACGGTTCATTGGCTCAAAAGGCACTACCGATTTGCGTATATAATCGAGTGGAATCTTCGTTTTACCTTCCATTAGTAGAAAGCTGCCGCTATCATTAGTTAGATTCGTGCAGATCGAACTGCTAAGCGATGTTAAACACGATTCAATGCTCTTGAGATCCTCTTCAATGTCTTGTATGATTTCTTCACGATCCACAGTTAACTTTTGTCCCTCCTCTTCGCCGCTCACTTTGGTTTCATAAAGTGCTTTACGTACTTCATGTAAAAAATCCAAATACTCTTTTCTACCAGGAAAATTGAGCGCCTCTATTTCGCTGCTTGGTCGACTGTGAAAGTAAACATCCTTTGATTGGCACAAATCCTTGATTCGCAAAGTTTTATCGGTGGTGAATTGTTTACGCGTATTTTGCATATAGTCGGCAAGTAATTCCTTCGTATCATATTTAGATATGGTCAAATCCATTCCAACGTATTGATTACATGGCGGTTGTGCCATACGAAAATTCTCAATAACAACATGATCCTCCTTGCTTTTGCCTTTAGTGGCTTCGGCTTTGACAATTTTCGGCTGATAGTGTACATCTACCAGTTTCTGTTGCATATGATTCCAGTGATCGTGATGGTGACGTGTTTCGAAGATTTTCGAATACTCACGATTTGGCACCTCATGTAAATTACTGAAATGCACATCATCGGTTTTTAGCTTCAATAAATGCGGTTTATGCACTTCGGCAACAGTTTTATCGAATAGTTGCGAAGGCACACGCTCACCGATATAATCACGTGGCTTACGCGGATGACGACGTATTGTGGTTTCGCGATGTTTGGGCGCAGGCATGTTGCCACGCATAGTTAATGGTAGTACCACACTTTTAGCTAGACGCGCCCCTCTATTCTCCTCATCCTGATCGGCCAACTCCGGCTCCGGTGTTGGCACCCATTCGGAATCTGTGCTAGTATCCGATTGTTCGCATTTCGTTTGCAAGCTCGACTTTTTCACCTCATGACATGGTATACCTAGCAATTTGAGGCGTTTCTCTTTAATCTTGGCCATCTTTTGCTTTTTAAAATTCTCCTTGGCTGCCATATACTCGAGCGTGGTATTTAATTTCATTAGTTCGACTTTATCATCCAGCATTGCATGTTGCGCTTTGAATTTATTCAAATCGTGCGCATGATCGGTATAAAGAAAATGTATTAGATTGAACTTTTTAATTGGGTACTCGAGACGTGGTCGCACCATTTTAAATTTTTTACGTAAATCACGATCGTAGTGACGTCCCAGACGCTTCTCGATAAACTCACGTACGGCACTGCTCTTTATTTGCGGTAGCTTATAGCCGAATTGGGGCTGAAAAATCTTCAGTTGCGGATCATCTGGGCCACGCAGTTTCGGTATGCCCTCTTCAATATCCATTTTTACAACATCCTTCTTTTGCACCAACTCCGCTAGCCAGTCTTCTCGTGTTTTACATGTTTTTTCCTTGCGTGTTCCGCCGGTTTTTTCAGTCTGGTGTCGCTTGCCGCGCAGGCTTTTGCCCAATTTGAAGTGGAAGCCGCGCAGCTGGTAATTGCTACCATGTATACCAACTTCGATAGCATCTTCATCGTCACTGGACTGCTCGCTCAGCTCAGGACTCTCACTGACATGCCTTGGCGTATCGCTACTCAGCTCGATTTTCGCTTCCGGATAATCTTTTAACTTGCCAAAATGCTCTAGATAATATTCCTTTTTAACAAGCGCATTGTCGCGTTTGATGCGATTTTGTGCTTTTAACTTCTTTTTAAATTGTTTAGTTTCCCGCATTGTATGTGGATAAGTGGTCGCTGGCTTCGGCGGTTTACGCTGCAAAGCTTCTATCTTAATTTGCGGATCACACGCGGCATTTATGCTGTTCAAAACTTCGGTAAAATGTTGCATAGCTAACATTGTGGGTTTGAGCTCCTCATTAATTTTATTTTGCGCTTCTCTTTCTCTATCTACTTCTTCTGCTAAGTCTTTGCGTTCTAAATAAAGATTCTTATAACGCTTGCGTCGATTACGACTCTCTTCTTCAATTTTTAGTTGATTGTATGGCTTGTCGGCTGAACGAAAAAGTTTGCAAAACGGCACTGGCGGTTCACTGCTTGACACATCTTCATGCTGTGTACGATCGGGCACATCGAAGCATTGCGGCACTGCTAGACGCTCATTCTGCAGCTCCTCCTCAACTTTGTCCTGCGTCTCCTGTTTGACACGTCGTCGCTCCATATACCGCATTATGCTGCGGTAAAGACTCTGATTTTGTATATCCTGCTCGTCGGCCTGATAAGTTTTGCGATAATCGAGTCCTTGAAAGTCTAGCTGCATAGGATTTTCTAAATCAATTTGATCGCATATGAAAGACTCTGACGATTGTGATTGCGTCTCACCGCAAACATTATCCGCATATTTCACTGTTTTTGTCAATATATTGAATTCACGTTTTTCCGAAAAAGCTTTCGTACGCAAAGCCTGCGGATTAACCAAGCAGTATTTTTTACGTGGATCTTGTGTTAGGAAAAATTTTTGACGCGTACGTGATAATTTAGCAAACTCTTCAAAATTTAAAGGACAAGCGCCGATAAATGGTTTTGGTGCGCCGGCCACAACGCTCTCGCGACATGGTTTCTTCCATTCGGGTCCGCGAAAAACCATACGTTTAGCGCCGGATTCTTTATGTTGCGTGTCGACCATTTCTTGTGATGTGACTAGATTGTCATCCGACACCTTAGGGGGTGGCGTTGTTTGTATGCTGAGCGAGCTGCTTTTACGCTTCGACGAAGTTGGCGTACTCGAACAGGTGTGTTTGAATTTCTTCGGTGCCGCTACCAGCCAACCATCAAAATGTGAGTTAGTCGAGCTTGTAAAATCGTAGCCTCGTTGTTTTGGTGGCGTTGTGGACGTTTGGGATTCTCCTTCAGACAAACGCAGTTGAATAATCGGTACATTAATGTATGGTTTAGTTTTGTCTGTGCATTTATCCGCAATGCTGATGTCTGATCTATCTTTGAGCAAATTCTGTGTAGATTCACAAACTTCATACAAAGGTTTAGTTACACGTTTAAAGGGTTTAGTGGTTGTTGAACGTTTTTTCACAAGTTCTTCTCGAGCACTCGTATTGGATTTAGTGCTGTGGGTGCTTAATTTAATCTCTTGCACAGATGCTTTCGGTTGGTTGTAGTAACTGGATTTCCTTAATGTCGGCATTCTTTTTATTTAATATAAAATATATGTATACGTAACAAAAATATTTTTAAAATTTGTATTCAATATGTAAAATGGAAAATTTTCTTTCCACTATTTCTCACTTCTAATAATGAGAGATAAAGGAAAAGTGGCACACTTATTTAATTTTTATATTCATCACTATTTCACATTTGATTAAACGGTTTTTCGAACATGATCTTAAGCAAGCACTTATACCTTGAACAGGGTATATTTAGTTTGCAACGACGTTTGTAACACCCAAAAGGAAACGTCGCAGATCCTATAAAGCATATATCGAAATGGACAGCGTGACGGGCTGAGTAGATTTAACCATGTGCGTCTGTCTGTCTGTATATACGAGAACTAGGCCCTCAGTTTTCCAGATATCGATATAAAACTAAGGCCATTATCGGACCACCTTAACATATAGCTGCCATACAAATTGATCGAACAAACTCAAGTCCTCCTCCTTTTTTATTTGACAAGAGATCTTAACGAAATTTGGCTGAGATTATTGCCCAAAGCAACGCTACACTATCGGTTCTAATTTTTCAGATCGAACCAGAATAGCATATAACTGCCATACAAACAGATAGATCAAAATAAAGATTTTATGGAATTTTTGTTTTATTTTGAAGGGTGCAACCTAAGTTAAAATGTTTTCTTGGTTTTTTTAACGTATGTTTGTACATATTTCTTATGTAGTGTTCATTGTACATATTACTTACTGTGGCTCCGCACTTCAAAGGCAATATGCAATAAGTTTCTGATCTACGTTCGAGTACTTAATTCTTTCCTCTTCCTATTATGTATAAACGAGTTCTGCGCACTTTAGTTAATAAACGTCACGTCAACATAATAATTAAATAAATAAAAAAAAGGCGATTTATTTCATTACCATGAGAATATCGCACACAGACAGCATTTACACTGAACGGTAATTGGTTTTGTGCGCTTAACAAACAGTTCCGGCGGGAAAATAAAATTTGTAAAGGAATTTCCTATTCTACTACAAAAAAAACTGTAAATGTTCACAATAAATTTAAATAACCAATATAAATGGGCATACGATTTCGATGAAGAATGAACAAACTCTTACCAAATATATTTTACACTCTATTTTATTTCGGTCTTAAAATTTAATTAAATTTTTTTAATTATAACTTCACAATTTTACAATGCAACCTTGTTAACTGGTGAACTCTGAGCAACCCTAACGTGCAAACACGCAACACTGTCGAGCCGAATGAATGTTCGGTGAAAACGAACATAGCGCAGATGAAATTTTTATTGCAAATGGTGGTGACGGATACGATCCAAGAGTTGCGCACGTATTTTTCACATTCAATTTTGCTGTAAAATTTTCGTAAATTTGTTGTGTGCTTTCGGTGCACAATAACGATACTATAAATGTTTATAAACAACAGCGAGTGTTAGTTAATTATATTGTAAATTCGAACGTAGAAACGGTGAGTGCTGCTGCCTGCAATAAGAATGTACACCACCTATGTGAAAAATGTACACATCGAAAAGTGGAAAAATTTTTTTGAAAAAATTCCACACGAAGCGTTTCCAATTGAGCAGTGAAAATATGTTTTTCCTATAGCGTACATGGCATTAAACATTTTCCACATAAATCATTATTTACAGTTAAAGCGCTAAAAAATTAAAAAATTACAATATTGTTGGTGCTGATTCTGGTTGAAAGGAAAATTTCTATTCGTTGTTTGCCTCATTGAAGAGGCGAGCGGTAGCTGTTGGTGGGTCAGTGTACAAATCGCTGTTCGGTAGTGGCGGGCACATATAAAAAGAAAGTGTAGAGAAATTTTTGTCGACAAAAGGGATATGCAAAACATATTTTACATAAATTTTTCACTAAACTTTGGTGATCAAAATATAAGTTTCGTATAAATTCTTTGAAAATTATGTTATGAATGGCTAAAATTGTATGTTTACAACTAATTGCGGATTGCTGAAAAAGCGCGCCATTATGTGACGTAGCCAACTTTAACCCTTGAACATCTACTGTGTTTATGCTAAAAACATATAAACAATTTTTTTTAGTTATTCAGTAATATTTATTTTTTTTTACAATTAAAACTTTTTACACCAATATTAACATAAAATAAAACTTTTACAGTTGTTAAATTTTTTTAAATTATATATTTACAAAACATTACAATAACAAACAAATTTTAGTAAAAAGCATTTAATTGAAATATTCCATATGCACTACTATTACTATTAGTACACGTTCGTCAAAAAGTAACACGAGCATTCCAACAATTTATCGTCATCTCTGATTTATGCCTTGTGTACTTGCGCTGTCAACATTTACATACGCAAATACAAACCAACAATTAAGTGCCGCAAACTAGTAGGCAAGAAAAAAATACACAAATTTTGTTTTGCTATTCGCTTTCGCATTTTCCGTATACACTTTGTCTATTTATCTTTTTCTGCCCATTTATACCTTTCTGCCGTTTGTTGTTTGTATGAAGTGGTGTGTTGGTGACGTGGTGTGCCATTAGCCGTGATACTCTTTTCTTATTGGAGATTTCTTATGCGGCTCTCTATAATTATTTCTACCTGCATTATGTATAAATACGTATGTATGTATATATTTATATGTTCTTATTTAGTAATTTAAAGCTTCACAAATAATATATTGTATTATTGATATACTGATTTGTTTGGTAATTACGACTGGAAGTATGAGCGCTGATAAATATATTTGTAGGGAAGTGCAAAAATGTATGCGATATATGAAAAGAGAGAAATCTCCAAAACGTTCTGTAATTATTTTTATGCTAATTTTATTAAATTTTATAAAAAGTATTAAAAAATTTATTATTGAATAAAGTTATTACGATTTTTATGCTTTTAAAGAGTTACTTTAATTTTTATATTTGGTACTTAATGTATTATTTCGGAACCATTATTTATTTATTTAATTTCGTTAGTTACCATAAAATTTGGTAAATATTTTTTGTATGTATATACTATGTATGTGTGTGTATACTATGTGCCAAAAAGATAAGAAAATCAAAATAAATAAAAAGTAAGTAGTGTTTGAAGAAGTCGAAAGTAAAAAAAAAGTATAAACTAAAAGCTGATAGCATCAAAACGTTACAAAATTAGCATACATGAACTAAGAATCATGTTCCGATTCAAATTTCAATCCAAAATTTCTATATCCGAATTTTTTATTCAAAATATTCAGCAACGAGTTGCATTCTGTAGACCTACTCCATTCTTTTTATGCTAATTGTTATTTCACTTCAACCTTAATTTTTTCCGAGCGATATTAAATCCAATTGCTAATAATAAACCACTCGCGCTTTTGAAATGCATATAAATTTATAACTACCCGTATAGTTGATTTTTGCAGTGCTTCCACTTGAAGTACACCCCAACCATCAAGTTTGAATTCTGAAAGACATCTGATTTAAAAGCGATTCAATAGCAATAATATTCACTTCTTTTCCACATTGCTTTTTCACTCTCATTTTTTGAGTTGTTTGTGTTTGGTTTTGCCGGTGGTTGCGACGATATACTCTTCGGTTGTTGGTTTTTCTTATACGACGATGCACATGCTCGTATATGGTATGTAGAGGGTATCTAATCGCGCTCCAATTCCACTCAGTTGCCATATGCATGTGTGTTTATTTTGTACTCCTTTCTCTGTTTTAGTCTTATTTAAATATTTTTATTGCTTGTGTCCCAATGGAAAAAAATGTTATTTGTGCGATGACAATCTCAGCGCTCAGTAGGCTATAAATATATTCTCTTTTATTACTCTGTTTGTTGAGTATATATTTTTTTCTCAAAGCTCTCAGTACAAAGCACTCAAAATTTTATTAGTTTAACTCACCGCATATTTTATATTATTAACTGGTAAAGTGAATTTTTTGCTCTATAGATATCGTCAGGAAACGTATCTCTATTTATTTTGCTACATAATTAAATTTAACCGTCGCGCATTGTTTTTTTCTCGTTGGTAATGTCATCATAGTAACATGTGACCGTTGAACTCTGACGTATAGCATGTTTCTGTATTGATTTCCTGAAGGTCGTTTGAACTATTTGGCACTTAATTTTTGTATTTTTATTATATGTTTTTAATTTTTTTTTCCTTATCACCTGTTCTTAAAATTTCCTATCCTCCTACCTTATGGTTATTAAATACACCAGAAGAGTTGTATGTGTTTTTAAGCTTTCCGCTTTGAGTGCTTGCCACTGACTGCCGCATTTTGCTTAAGTGTTAACGCTTTATACTCATTAAAAGAAATTTCAAAAATTGTTTATACCTTCTACAAGTTGGCTCGTGCATTTATACACTCATGCTTTAATCAAATTGTCTGCTCAAAAATTTTCTGCGATTGCGATTATGACGTTAATGGGCAAAATAAAATGCAGTTGTGTATTTATGTCGATTTTTTTTTAATCCAATAAGATGTATACAAAAACAATTATTCGGTTGATTGACACCGCCTTTGATTTTTTCTATTTCCATTTTAAAAACTAAAAAAAATAACAACTGATCTAACGTTATTGTGTCAGCGTAACTTAATAACTTGTTGCTGCGGTAAAATTTAGGTCAGTTCACCGGTTAAAACTAGATGCAACTGTTAAAGGACAGTGTTCGTAAATCTCTTGCTTTATAAATATATATACCTGTACATACTTATGTAACATATATCCCTCAACATAGGCCCAAATATTGGCACTCAGCGTTCAAATTGATTTTTGTAACAGTTATTACATTCATGAAGTCCCGTTTATGTATCTGTTACATACATAATTTTTTTTTTTAAATGTGATTTGAAATAGCGGTTCAAGCGAAATATTCATATTATTTGAAAGAATTTGACTGAAATGCGAGAATTTTAAGTAATGTCAATTGATTCAACAGTTCTTTAGTGAATACATCGCACTTTTTGTTTGAAAACATACATATTTCTTTTGCAAAAATGGGCCGTGCCAGTCACTGCTCTAAAGAAAATCGAAATCTCATTAGAAAATTTTTGGAGGAAGGAAAGTCTTACAAGTTTATCGTAGATTCACTCGGGAGTTGTGCCAATTTTCATTCATTTGCTCTTTTGCGGTCACAGTTGAGGAATGTGGCTTTGGCCCGAGAAAAGCCATTTTAGACCTAAAAAAAAATTAAACGCCCAAAAAAGTTGCCATAACTTCGACCACGGCATGTGCAGGTATGGAGGGTTGTGAAGAAGGCGTGGAAGGCCTTTCCTCTCGAGAAATGCAGATGTTTGGTGGACTCCATGCCTAGGATATGCGCAGGTCATTCGACGAAGTACTAATTATTTAAGCTTTATTTTAAATTATAATGATTCAATGAGCTATTATTTCAAACACAGTTGTATATATTAAACATACATATATACATTATTTACTTTACTAATCTACAAATAATTTGCTTATTTTTGCAGTTTAAATTTAACGTAAGCATTCGTCTTAAGTTTTGCCACAGCTTACGATTTGGGAATCGTCTGCTGTCGCTACGGATTAAGGCATCAAAATGGCAGCTAACAACAACCTCAATATGCACAGCATGTCTCCACAACATTTGTCCCCACTCAACTCAAACATAATGCCACAGTCAGTTATCGCCTCTACTGGGAGTGTTAATCCAATGATCGGCATGCCAACAATGCCTCAACCATCAAGCAGCGCCCAAAGTGCTTGGGACCAATTGACCGCTTCCTCATCCTCATCGTCAGCCAATGCTAACGTGCTCAACACTACGTCTACCACGAACATTATCGGTTCTAGTGGTGCTGTGGGTTTGGGCATTGGAAACACACCGAATTTGACAACATTGCAAAACATACAACCGGGCGGTAATACTTTAATAGGGGGTGCTGTTGGCATTACGAGCGCAGTAAATGCTGTTGGCACAGCCGGCATCACAATGGGTGATCCCAATGGTTTTGGTATGGGTAATATGTCTGGCGGCAGCTCACCTGCAGCCAGTTGTGCATCGCCATCGACACCGACAAAAACAAGTGCACCACCGTTAGATGGTATGATGGCACATACGCCCACGCAGGGACCACCTGCTATGCATAGTGCTGGTTATGGCGAGGAATTGACAGCCGAACTTGTGAATCAGGGTTGGCGAAAATTCTGGTCAAAACGCGAAAATCGACCATATTACTGGAATAAAATAACCGGCGAATCATTGTGGGAAATGCCCGGTGCGCGTCCATTCGATCCACTTACAGATCCTTTGGGTAGGTTTGTTGGGGAAAAAGGCAAAAAAGTGTAGAATTTTGATTTTTTTGTTTTAATATTTTCCTATCAAGGCATATGTCACAGTGGTGGTCAACCGCCTATAAATCCGGGCTTACCGCATCACCCACATCATATACAACATCCAAATTTAAAGCGTCGACCATCCGACGATATGCATCTACATCCACAACAACAACATCCGCCATTGAAAAAGTTTGTGTTGGCTGGTCCATGGGATTTAGAGATTTGCACGAATGCCGTAATTGTAGAGCGACCACCAACATTATTACCACAACCACATCCCGAAATTGAAGCTCTACGTGCCGCTTACACAATGAAGCTGGTGAAAACCTATGAAGATCTCTGTATGCGGCGTGAAAATATCAAGGCGCCGAAAGACTCCTTCAACCGCTGGCTAATGGAGCGTAAAGTAATTGACAATGGTTGCGATCCGTTATTACCAAGTAACTGTAACCCAGAAATATCGCCATCCATGTATAGGGAAATTATGGCTGACATACCCATTAAAATTGTCAAACCGAAATTTACAGGTAAATTATTGATATGCTTATTAAAATAAAAATTGTTAGTGATCAACTCTTTTCTATAATACAGGTGATGCACGCAAGCAATTATCACGTTATGCCGAAGCCGCGAAACAGATTATTGAGTCACGTTCAGCGCCAGCCGAAAGTAAAAAGGTCGTTAAGTGGAATGTCGAAGACACCTTCCAATGGTTGCGCCGCACTGTTGGCGCCAGTTATGAGGACTTTCAAGATCGCCTAGCGCATTTGAAGCGTCAATGTGAGCCACATCTTGTCGAGACCGTTAAGAGTTCCGTAGAAGCGCTCTGCATTAAAATCTATCATTTGAGTGCCGAGCATGCGCGTAAAATACGTGAACGTCATATGCAACTACTCAAAGAGCACGGCATACCAGAACCAACACCACCACCACCACCACCGCACCTGAAGAAAGTCTGGTGCTATCCCATACAATTTGCTGTGCCATCACCACGCATGCCAGCCATTGAGTATGTACAAGATCGTGATCACATGATTATTAAGTATACGCCTAGCACACATAATCAACCCGATGCGCAGTATATTAATTTAACACATCTACAAAAGCTTGAACAACTCTATCGCCACAACTGTTTCGATGATAAGAAATTTGATTTGTTCATTGGACGTGTTTGGTGTCTACTTAAGCGCTACCAGACGTTCCTGGGCAATGCTTTAAATTCTTCACAAGAGGCAGAAATGACGCAAGCATCGTTGCCTGTGCCAGTTTTCGAGTGCTTGCATAGACAGTTCGGCGTTAGTTTTGAATGTTTTGCGTCGCCTTTTAACTCATATTTCCGGCAATACTGCTCGTCATTCGCCGATACCGATGCGTATTTCGGTTCCAGGGGGTAAGTAGCAGCTAAAAGCTGAAGTAACTGTTGTGTATTTACTATTTATACCCTGAACAGTAGGATTAGTACTAAAATGGTCACTTATAATTTAAAAAAAATATATATATATGCATTGATGTTTGGCGATGAATATCTCGTAAACGCTTAACTAAGACGAGGACCCACCCGTTACAATTACGCGCTCATACTTGAAGTGGTTATATTAAGTTGGCCACGTAGTTTTTAATACTAAGTATGAAACGTCGAAGACAATATAAAAAATATATTATTGATCAGCATGACGAGCTGAGTCGATTTAGCCATGTGCGTCGGTTTGTCTAGTCAGTTTTTGAGATATTGATCTTAACACACGTCCTTATCTCACCAAGAAGCTGCTCATTTGGCGGAACTGCCGATATCGAACCACTATAGCATATAGCTGCCATACAAACTAAAAGATCACAATCAAATTCTCTTATGGAATTTTTTGTATCTGTGAAGGGTATTAAAGTTTCGGTGCAACCGAAGTTAACGTTTCTTTTTTTTAATTTTAGGCCATTTCTCGATTTCAAACCAGTTTCTGGTTCTTTCCAAGTAAATCCACCATATTGTGAAGAACTTATGGATAGAGCTTTATTGCATATCGATAAATTGCTCACGGATTCTATGGAACCATTGAGGTGATTTGTAAATAAAATTTGTTTTCGTAGTTGAAATACAATTTAGCTTATGCCATTTCGACAGTTTCATCATATTCTTGCCCGAATGGAAGAGCATTGCGAAACTAGAAGAGAGTATGTTTAAGCGTCGTTCAATGGTGGTATTGGGCATGGCACACGAATATCGCCACGGTTATCAACACATCATACCAAAGTAAGTGCTTGCGCTTTTTTCCAAATTGCCGAACTGTTTTTAAATAATTATCTACAATTTATTGCTACAGAGCCGACGTCAATGTCAAATGCATGCAGGGCACACAGGTGGTATGGCTGCAGAATAGCGCCGGTCATGCGCGTTGGGGTCCCAACGAGAATCGTGTAGAGGCATTGCGTGAAGCTTTTCGGCCGCAACGCGATCGTGAGCGTGAACGTGCAGCGGCCGCAGCAGCTGCAGCTGCTTCATCACCACCACAAGCGGTAACACATCAAGCCACCGCTGCAAATACGCTCGGCAACAACAACAATAACAACAATCTAAGTGTTGGCAATATTAACAATAATGTCAACACAAATGCCACCACATCAGCAGCAGCAGCGACATCAACTGGTAATACAAATACAGCTAGTAGCAACAACACTTCTGGCAGCAGCGGCAATAGTTCGTTGCATTCAACGTGCGCACCACTTTCACCGCATACACCACCAAATATGGCCACATCATCGACCGGTTCGCCCGCTATGAGCATACAAAGTGCATGCTCGTCGCCTTCATCATCCTCAATGTCGCTTTCACCGGCTGCATCAGGTGTCGGCGGTATTTCAGATATTATCGGCAGCACTTCCGTATCTATTACAGCAACCGCCACGGCAGCGAGTGGTGCATTCGCCAGTTTAGTGGCTGCTTCAACATCAGGCAACAATATTGGTGGTGTGACGTCGGGAAGTGGTGGCAACGCGCTGGGCAATAATGCCGGTCAAACCGTTATCAATTCTGCGGTTTAAACTGGGTTTGGTGGCCTTCTGCAGGCTTGGTGTTTAAATAACGACAGTGAGTTGAAACAGCGACTAATCTACTCAATGCAAAGTAAACATGCTTAATTATGTTTACTAAGCACTGTTGCTAAATTCAATGGCTCAACTCGCAATTGTCCTTATTTATTTTTGCACTAATGTAATTTATTTATTTAGACGAAAAAGTGAAATGCAAAAAAAAATAAAAATAAAAATAAAACAATTGAAAAATTAGCGTTAGTTTTAGAAAAAGTAAAAAAAGGTAATGCTAAAGAATTGAATTCTTTTTAAAGATATACCATTAAAATTTAGTGTGCACCAACACAGCGCACTTTTGTCTATTTATTAGTAATGTACATACAGGTATAAAAAAAAATATTATTTAATGCTACAGCTACAGTTCACGCAACTGCTGCGTCAAATAGCAGATTAATGCAATTTTTTTGTCTCTTAACTTTTTTTCTCTCTTTTTATGCAATTTTTACACTAATATATCTACATATATAAAATGGTATTTACTAAAAGATTAAACTTTTGTTTTTTCAGTTGACGAATAACATTTTTGAATTTTATTATAAGTTAAACTAAACGCTTTAAGCTACAAAATTGAAACAAACTTTTTGTAAACGAAAGCTTATAATTAATTATAAATGTAAAATAATCAAATTTTCTAAATATTTTGTTTTTATTTTGACTTGGGCGGGTTCAAAGACACTTTTGCATTGTAAATAATAACGGTAATATAATGCGTGCAGTAATATAAAGTAGGAGTTAGTTAATTAAATCAAGTTGATGCAACAAATAGCATAATTGTAATAACTGTTTATATTAGCTGTAATAGAAATGTAAACAGAAAACAACAAGATATGGCTGCATTAACGCGCTATTTAATGAAAATTTAATAAAACCGAACACATTTTTTTAGAAACTGCTGAATATGTACAATTTTAAGTTTTTTATTTCAACGGCAATTTCTTTAAAAAAAAAACTATATACATTTTGCTAGCCTAGTGTACAGCCGATAACATATGTGAAGAGCAACCAGGCTTGTAAACTTTTAGATCCCAAAATGTTTGATTAAAAATTAGATTTTCAACAACTAATTCCAATTTTGGGGATTTTAATTACAATTTAAATAAAAAAATTACAATTATAATGATACATCTGTAATTGTAATTGTATTACAATATATTACAATTGTAATATAAAAATTTAATTTTCAATTCTAAATCAATTTAATTCTGAAAATTTAATTTTTTAATTTAATAATTGAAAATTTTACTTTTAAGCTGAAGCATTTTGTATTCCGATTTTGAGTTTAAAAATTTAGTTCTCTGTTTTGAAAATTTTTAATTTAAATATTTTATTTAATAATAAAATTTTAAAATTTAATTTAAAAATTGGAGTAACAAATAAAAAAATATTCTTCAAATTAAAAGTTGTAATGATTAGAGAAAAAAGGGAAAGATTTTAATATTTTCAACTGAAACACTAAATTTAAAAATTAATTAATTAATTTAATATAAATAAAACAAAAAGGGCTAAATTGATATTTTAGTAAAAAATAAGCCTACCTTTTCAAAATATAACTACAATTGTACAACACGAAGTACGCAAACGCAAAAATTTAAATTCTACAAAAATAAGTTTTTGCTTTGAATTTTTAACTATAAGCTTGTGATTAAATGTTTGTTTACTTTTTAATACAATTTTTGGCGATTAATTTTTTTTTACTTTTCAATCCGGTATTTTCGGATTTTGAAGGTTTACTAAAATGTAAAAACATGCAACTCAATTTTGGTTTACAAACTGTAAACAGTTTTATAAGCGATATTTACCTGAAATCACGCATGATTTTTAGACGTTTTTAAGCGCATATACCATACATATATTCCAAACAAAACCATTTTCGCCTACTATAAATGCGAAGACAAGAAGCGAAGACACGAAGGTCTGTAGCAATTAATAAGGAAAAAACTTACATAAGTTGCACATTAAAAAAAAAATATGTGTAAGATTAAACCACTATATGCTTTAAGTTATACATAATACTTTTAATCTAATATGAACATTGAAATTAATGCGCATGCGCAAATCGCAATAAGCAAACGAGTGTACATATATTACAAGGAAATTTTAAGATTTTAAGCAATTTTAGCTTAACTAATAATAATGCTAAAGGTACAAAAAATGTATATATACAAAACATATAAATTCAGTTTAATTTTAAAACAACAAAAATTGTCGCTAACTTCTCATTGTCTAACGACTTGACAGAAGATATAACATAAAACATTACAATAAAGATATCGAAGAAAAAAATAAAAAAAAAACGTATGTACATAAAAATTAAAACCAGGGCTGCGAGTTTATTGGTTAAAAAATTAAATGATCAATTTTTAATTCCAATTTAGAGGTAATTTTTTTTAAATCGTCTATTTGGGATTAAAAATTAATTTTTAATTTGTTAATCCGGTATTTGAGATTGAAAAATTTGAAAACTATTATTAATTAAGATTTTCGGGATTACAAAATTAAAAACAATTATTGTAATTAAATTGATTTTATTTTTAATGCTTCATTTGCAATCCTGGTGTCTACAAAAGCCATTGATGTATATATATTATAAACTAAATTAAGTAAATAACACATTAAATTGCCTTCCCTTTGTTGAATTTTAACCTTCTTGTAGCAATAACTCAAACACCAATTTAACCATCTAATAATAATAACTTGTAATAAGCTAAACACTAATAATAGCAAATTAAAAAAATTAACAAACAGCAACGTTTTAAAAGTAAAATATAAAAATCGGATATGTAATGGATGTGTTAAAAAAAAATGTATCCAAACAGCAAATATAAAAATCAATTTAACTCTGTACGTCAATGCTCTTGCTCTCCTCTCCCACTATTTTTGCCCACTGTGCTTTTATATTTCCCACTATGAAATTTGTCATACTTCCACAGAAAGCCCACACATACAAGTTCTTTACACCAAATCATGTCATTAATCAATTAACCTAGACCACTAAAAAACTGACCGATTTGTATGTAAACAAAAAAAAAAAAAATTACTACAATACACATTACACATACATATATATAGCGAAATTTATTGTTAATAAACTACTGCACTTATTCATAGCAGCCGAAATAAACCCATTTTAAATTAGCAGCATAAATGATTAGCAAAAGAAAGCAGCCAAAAAAATGGCAAACCTAAATAAAAATTTAACAATAACTTGTTAACATTTTATGGAAACATTACAAAGAAAAAAATAAAATAAACAGAAAATGTGTAGTTGAAGCAACTTGTGTGTAGTCAATTTGAACGGAGTTTCTTTACAGGACAGTATGTATTATAGATTTTTATATCCTGAAAAAGGTATATTAAGTTTGCCACGAAGTTTATAACACCCAGAAGGAAATGTCGAAGACTCTATCAAATTTGTGTATATACAAATGATCGGCGTGACGAGCTGAGTCGATTTAGCCATGTTCGTCTGTTTGTCTATATATGCGCGAACTGGTTCCTCAGTTTTGAGAAATCTCTCTGAAACTTTGCAAATGCTCTTTTCTCCCCAAGAAGCTGCTCATTTGTAGGAAATGCCGATATCGGACGCCTATAGCATACAGCTGTAATAGAAACTGAACCATCCATTATTTGTAAGGGGTAGTCTAGCTGCGGTCCAATCGAATTTAACGTTTCTTGTTTTAATAAACTTTAATTTTGATACATTATTCGGCCAAATGTACAATATATATAATTTATGTCAATTAATTTAAATAAATAAATAATTTTTTATTCACTTTATTTATCCATTAATATTTATTAGCTATTTTGCAAGCATAAGCCAACTTAAACCCATAAGTCAAACATACGCCTAATACCTAAATACTTATTACGTGCCAATACAAGCTATTTGACTATTTTTTCATCCACTTAGTAGCTAATTTCAATGAATGCTTGGTTACAAAGTAAACAAAGAGTGAGCAAGTTTTTAACCGAATTTTTGTGAATTTAAAATAGAAAGCATTTTTATCTTGTTAGAATTTGTTTCATCCTATATGTATTACAATATTTCTTATCATAAGCAATAAAGCTTTCTTATTTTGTTTTTACAAACACGCTTTGCATACAAAAAAAAATATATATATATTCGTAAACAAAAGCGTTTAATCAACTAAATATGTATGTATCTGTTAATTAACCAGCATTAGTACCATAAAAAGCAGAGATAAACATATTTATAACTGTGGACACAAAAATAACAAAAATATTGCTTTTATGCTACCAGCAGTGCAATATAATGACATAAATACATATACGTTCATGGCTTTTGGTATATATGATAGTTAACGCAGTTAAACTTAAATACATTAATTATCAGCTTTTTACTTAAACTAATCTGCTTCAGTTTTTTTGCTTTTGCATTACTGATGAGCATTTCTCAACAAACAGCTGCAGCAAAATGTATAGAAGAATGCAGACTTCTACATCATTTCCAAACTGGAATCACTATTTTTGGTAACCACTTCTGTTTCGGATGAACCCGAACCAGAGCCAGCATCATCTACCTTCTCATTATCATCTAACTGTGAGAGTCGAGCGTGATGATGATGTGAAGTGGCTGCCAGCTGCCAAGCAGGTATTGAGGGAGGACCGGCAGTGATGGGCGTAGCAAACTGTTTACTAATAAAGAAACAATAACAACCGTTTTCAATTTATTTTAACTTTTTCAAACCTACCGATTAAGTAGCAATCCTTTTATGGCATCTAAATCACTTCGAAATACATTGAATTCTTGGTTGAGATTCTGACGTTGCTCACGCTGTTGTTCTTGCAACTGTACTTTGATATTGGCAAGTTCTGCATTTACAGCATCCAACCGCGTATCGACCTTTTTATCGATATCTTCAAGCGCCTCCTCAACAGGTTTCTTCTTTTTCTTTCCAAAAAGAAATGGTTCTACATATTTCTGTAAATATAAATTTAACATTAAAATAACTTCATAAAAGCATTACGAATGTTTATTAACCTTCCAAAATAGATAAATTGCATATGCAACACCACTAATAAGTGCTAAATTATGCAAAACCTCTTTGATGCGTCCGTAAGCATTTTGGCGTGGCTGCAATACTAATTGCGGATGTTCCAGACCGCTGTTACTTATGTTAATCAAAGTAGGCATGTTGGGGTCGTCTGTAAAAATACCAGCCCGTTGGCATGCGACCTCTATTTCATCGTTGGTTAAACCTTTGGATTGCAGAAACTGTCGTTTTTGCATAAGTGTTGTGTGTCGTACTTTAGCATTTTGTAGAAAGTTCACCGCAGTTGTTATCTACATATGATTATAGATTTATTAAGAAATCGGAGTAACACACAATTTAAAGTCAAATATAATTGAACTTTGAGCCTATATATTAAAATGTCTACTTACAAGTGCTTCGCGGGGGGCCACTATCCCGAATTTGTCTGGTTGCCCATTTTGTATTTCTGTAGTGGACGCTATGATTGTGGTGTCACCTGTGTCCGTATTGCTGGTAGACATTATTTCGACTTGCAATTTAATCTTGAAGATATGTTTAATACACTCTCTATTGTATTAAGTCTTATAAACTCTCTTTACAAAGTATAATCTTTACTTTGTTCAAAGCCTCTTAAAGATAAAGAATGATAAGTAAATTTTGAAAAACAACACTAAAAATATAGCCGAAGGGGTTGGAAATTTATCGTAGCGATGTTGGTGTAGGTAATATTTTAGATGGATTAAGAAAATACAGTGAAAAGAAGGGGCTAAATGAAGAAAATATAGAAATGTTTTGTTTTTTTTTGCAAAACAGATGTTCAGTGTTGTAGATTTTAAGGGCAATTTTTCACTTCCTCTAGGTTATATTAAATGACGTACGTACATGTTATGACATTATTAAGTACATTTAATATTTGCCACGTATAATAATAAATAAATTTTCATACATTCTGTTATAAATTTAAAATTGTACATATTATATTAAGACTTTAAACTTTTTTTAACATTTGAAACACCTGCTAAAAAACTATAAATTCTGTTACTTACAGTGCACCCTGTGCCTTAATCAAAACAATGCAAACAGATGAAGTCGTCAAAAGCAGAAAATACTAATAAAAAGTAATATAGGGAAAACTGTTGAAAGATTGTAGATAGAAGGAACTGCAACAAAAAAATTTCACAAGAGAAATTTACGGAAAGCTGCAATTAAACGTTTGTCAAGACTTTAAAAGATATTAAAAAGTTTATTTTTATAAAAATATTTGAAAAGTGAAATAGCAAGCACGGTTTAAAATTGAAAAGCGGTGCTTGCAAACACTGAAAAAGGCAACCAGAAATACGAAGTGAAAAAATATGGCTTGTGCAGCAACTTCTGGCAAAGAATCGACGACTGCAGTGAATACTTCAAATGGTAATGCTAGTGTAATTGGAGCAAGCGTTGTTGGAAATACAAACACTGTTGGTGCAGCCGGATTAGTGAATAGTGCAGGGGGCGGCGGTACGGTAGCTAGTGCCACGACAGGTGCTGGCGTTGCGGGTGGAGCAGGTGCTGGCAGTGCCGTAGGCGGCAATAGTGGCGGTGTTAGCGGAAGTAGTGGCGTTGCGGGATCCAACGGCTCATCAGGTGGAGCTACAGGCAATTCTAATGCTAATCGGCAGGCACGTTTCGCTATGGAAGGTGTCGGTGCACGTGTAATACGTGGCCCGGACTGGAAGTGGGGCAAGCAGGTATATCTATGAATTAAAATATAATTTTGAATGCCATCTTCTGCTATATTCATTTTTATGTTACTTAATATACAAAATAAATAAAATGTAAATAAAAATGCTAAAATAGGTATGTGAAAGAAATGGTCACTGACCACCTAAGAAATCATAACTGAAATCACAGTTCTTATACATCGATTTAGCTAAATTAATCGATTAACTTCAATTAGATTATTCACTCACATTAAAAAGTGACTGTTAATTACTCATGCATATACTATGATGCTTTGACAGCTCCAAACATCCGTTTGTTTTGAGTATAAAATTTGATATATTATATTATATATTGTTTTTATGTATGTTCAGTTTCTTACTTCATTATTTTTTTATTGTATTTTATTATATTTTAAATATGATGTAAGCTTAAACAAAATTGATGACTTGACAGCTCAGCTGATAAAAGTTCGCATATTTATACAACCAATATATACATTAATATGACCTACAACGGAACCTGGACAGATTTTTTAGAATCTTATCCATACAAAAATAATCAATTTCAATATTATCACTTAGCCTCGTATAATATTTAAGTGTACTAATTAGTCATCTCAGTTTGAAGTTTTTATTAATTATACCCTTAATAGGGTATACTCCTACATATATAAATGATCATCGCAACTGAACTGAGTCAAATCACCCTTGCCCGTTTGTCCGTCTGTCTGTATATATGCGAACTAGTCCCTCAGTTTTGGAGATATCGATAAGAAATTTTGCACACGTCTTTTTCTTCACAAGAAGCTGCTCATTTGTCGGAACCGATATCAGACCACTATAGCATATAGCAGCCATTCAACCGGTGCAACTGAATTTATCCTTTTTTTTTGTTTTTCCTGTCATTAACGTAACTTTCTATACATAATTTACAATATGTATGTATATTAAGATAACATTTCACATAAATTAATATACATAAAAATTTAAAACCAAATATTTACTTTATACTTCTGTATGAATACATTATCCATATTATATAATATTTTTTTATTAAATAAATTTCCAACATGTTATATAATATATTTATTTTAATGACATTTTATAAATAACGGTAGCACTTGATAAGCCGCTTCTCACGAAATAAATATTTAAAGTACCACAATCTACAAATAAAAAAAAAACATACGCCACCGGCACGCGGAGATGTCTAGCTTACAACGCCATTGGAGTAAAGCTTTATTATCACTTTATAAGCAGACTTTGCTGATTGCGTTACGTGCTGCTTGTTGTTGATACTACAATATCAATATTTTCATTTCCATTTCAATTTTCGCTATCACAAACGCCAAGTGCTCTTCAGTTGACTTCGGGGTTGGCGAGATGCATAACAACGCGAATATTCGCTGATGTCTCTTAATATTTGCACTGTATTAAGCGCTGTAATATTTAAATTTATATATATAAGGGAAATCCGGTAGTAGTTTTTTGTTAATTTTCCGTAAAATGCGTAATTACAACTATCGTGTGATTATATCCGTATGTTAATGATAATACGTGTATATATATGTATAATTATATTTTTATAATCGGAATATTTTAAAAAATATTTTTGTTTTAAAAAAACAGGATGGTGGCGAGGGTCACGTAGGCACCGTACGCAACTTCGAATCTTCCGAGGAGGTGGTTGTCGTGTGGGATAACGGCACTGCGGCCAATTATCGCTGTGCCGGTGCATACGACCTACGCATTTTAGACAGCGCGCCGACCGGCATTAAACATGACGGCACAATGTGCGATACCTGTCGTCAGCAGCCAATATTTGGTATACGTTGGAAGTGTGCCGAATGTATTAATTACGATCTATGTTCGATCTGTTATCATGGTGATAAGCATCATTTGCGTCATCGCTTCTATCGTATCGCCACACCAGGAGGCGAACGCATTATGTTAGAACCACGTCGCAAATCGAAGAAAGTAGCGGTCCGTGGCATATTTCCGGGTGCACGTGTAGTACGTGGCGTCGACTGGCAATGGGAAGATCAAGATGGTGGCGTCCTACGTCGTGGCAAAGTGAATGAAATACAAGATTGGTCCTCAGCATCGCCGCGTTCAGCTGCTTATGTTGTGTGGGATAATGGCGCAAAGAATTTGTATCGTGTAGGTTTCGAAGGCATGGCTGATTTGAAGGTAATAATAAGCATGGCATAACAATATTTAACTGTATACTGAAACATGGTATTTTTAAATTTTTTTGTTTAATCAAGGTGGTTAATGATGCTAAAGGCAATACGGTTTACCGCGATCACTTGCCGTTGTTGGGTGAAAATGGACCCGGCAAGGGACCACATGGCTTTCAGATTGGTGATAAAGTCACCGTTGATTTGGATTTGGAAATTGTACAGTCGTTGCAACACGGACACGGCGGCTGGACTGACGGCATGTTTGAGTGCCTCAATAATCCCGGCATAGTTGTGGGTATCGATGAAGATCACGATATTGTGGTTGCCTACAATTCAGGCAATCGTTGGACTTTCAATCCCGCAGTATTGACAAAAGTATCATCACCTACAACGGCACCACCCGAGTTCCAAGTAGGTGATATTGTGAAGATATGTTCCGATGTGGAGAGTATTAAAATGTTGCAGCGTGGCCATGGTGAATGGGCAGATGCTATGCAGCTGGTGAGTTTTCAAATATTAAATTAGAGTTTAAGCATAGCGTCCGAAAAACTACCGACATTATATGTAGATTTGATTGGGAAAAATGTTTGAAAAAAAAAGAAAATACGTTACCATCGGAGCTTTATCTTTTACCTTTTTTTTTATGATTGATCAGCTTGTATGGCAGCTATATTCTATAGTTGGCCGTTCTGATTTCAATTTTTTCGGAGGTTGTGCCGTTGCCTTGGATAATAATCCGTGCCAAATTTGATTAAGATATCTTGTCAAATAAAAAAGTGTTCCATACAAGGACTTGATTTTGATCGATCAGCTTGCACGGCAGCTATATGCTACAGTGGTCCGATCTAAACAATATCTTCGGAGGTTGTGCCGTTGCCTTGGATAATAACATATGCCGAATTGCGTGAAGATACCTTCTCAAATGGAAAATTTTCCATACGAGGACTTGAGTTTTTACAATCAGTTTGTATGGCAGCTATGTTTTATATTGCTTCGATATCGGCCGTTCCGACAAATTAGCAGCTTCTGGAGTAGAAAAAGACGTGTGCGAAATTTCAGATTGATATCTCAAAAA